GGGCCCCTACACCCATGTGGAAGACCCAGAAGAAGCTCCTGGCTCCTGGCTTCTGACCAGTGTAGCCCCAACTATTGTGGCCATTCGGGAAGTGAACCAGCTGATAGGAGATTTCTTCCTATCTCTCCTGCTCTCTATAACTCCGTCTTTCAAATAAAATTTTTGAAAAATCTTTTTTTAAAAATGAAAATTCTGAGGACCCACCCTAGCTTTCTTGAATCAGACATTCTGAGGGAAAGGACTCTGATTCAACAAGCCATCCAGGAAATGCGAGTACACACATAAATTTGAGGGCCATTGCTTTGGAATAACTGCACAAATATCCTACATTTCCATTCACAAGCTCTGTGATAATAGGTGAGTTATTTCATTCTTTTTAGCCTCAAATGTCTCATCCATAAAGTGCGTAAATAATCTTTGGCCTCATTTTATCAAGTTATTGAAAGAATTGAATGAAATTGCCCATAAGAAACTCTTAACAATGACTAGCACATAATAAGTTGCCAATATATATTAGCTATTTTACTATTGTTATTATTTTTATGTACAAAAAAAATCTTCTGTAGATGGGAGGAAACTAACCAAGACTCTGATAATAAGACAGGAACAAGGATCTAATTTTGCAAGGAAGGCCACCCTGACTACATCGTATTTGCTCATCATCATCATATTCTAACGAAGTGTTTCCAGTTTAAAATGACAACCTAAAATGGCCCAACATCCTGGTAAGCTTAAATTCAAAGGATTTTACACTCAGTCAAGCACAAGGATGACTGATAGGCAAAGAGGTAAGGAATAGACAGGAAGGCTTGAAATAATCATTTGAAAAATAATCAGAAAACTGTAGGTAATCTGTTAGCCTCCCCTTTTGGGTAACTGTAATCCCACTAGTGGTCTGCTTGCTGAGTGGATGTTTCTCTGTGCCACTGAACAAAAACCTGCAACAAAGTTCGTGGTTGAAGAGTAGAAAGCAGAGGGAACTTTGGACATCACATCCATTCAGTTAAATTGTTTTGTGGAGGGTATAGGCTACACAACCACACACAGCAGCCACAGTGGCTTTGTCTTTCTTTAGTATCTCTCCCATTCAACTTTGCTTATGATGAAGATAATTAGTTGTTTATCCCATAGTTAAAGGAAAATGAGTTGAGAGTCTGGGAGAGACTGGATCTTCCGTGCTGCGGCTATTTGCCACACCCTTTGGTATCAGTAATGACCACAGTTACCTGCTGGTTACTGGGAAACTCATAGCTGTTGCAAACCTTAGAAGACCATACCCATCTCTTGAGTAATCTCAAGGGTCAAACAAGATAAACTACATGCAAATGCCTTGTAAGCTCTAGAATGCAATGTCGAATTCTGATTGCTTTTATTGTCTCTGGCAGCATCTAACAATATCTCTGATGTTTACCCTCCCAAGGGCCCATAGCTGCCATTATTTTTATTATTGTTAGTATTATTAGTATTAGTATTAGTATTAGTATTGTTGTTATCATTGCCCTTACTACTAAATCTCTCATTTCCTTGGTATTATGTAAGGACAATTAGACCTCTTCCTAAGAAAGATCCTTCTCACTCCACTAAGGTGCTAGTGAGATTTTCTCATCTGAAACATTAATGTATAGCACATGGAAGTGACAAGCCAGCCAGCACCTCTTGACTCCCTTCCACAGCCATCAGCACTGTTACTGGCACCTGGGAATACCATCAATGATGCTATGAACAGATCAGCTCAAACAAATTTTTCAGCTTTTTCTATTACTTCCAAACGTTGCAAGGCCTCAACAATGGAAAGAGTCCCTTTGCACTGTATTTTGCACATGATGAAGAGCCCTTCCCTGAGGATTTGCTTGAAGTCCATAGTGCTAAGATATATTCTTATACTCTGCAAAATAGGAAAGAGATCAGGACCTACATTCAATAGTCCTTCTCAGCTGAAGTCACAAAAAGCACAGCACATTGTTAGTTTTTCTTAGTCAACATACATAGCAGCCAGAGATATTTGGCTAACACCTTACTCCCACCAGCTGGGAGGAACTAGAAGTATGATCATCTGTGTTTAGTGCCTGGTGGTTTGCAAACTTTCTCGGTGCTGTGCTTACCAAATTCATAGTCATTGACTTCTAGCTCAGTTTCTTATCCTATCTTCAATTATTTAATGGAACTGGAGATTTTTCCTGAATCCTACATCACTTGGCTATAGCCCTGACACCCTGCTTACATTTATTTATTTATTTATTTATTTATTTATTTATTTATTTTAAAAATCACCTTTTCAGACAGAGGGGAGAGACAGAGAAATTTTTCCACCTGCTGAGTTACTAACCAGATGGCCACAATGACCAGAGCGGGGTCAGACTGAAGCCAGATGCCAGGAGCTTTATCTGAGCCTCCCACATGGATGGCAGGAGCCCAAATACTTGGACCATCTTACATCATTTTACCCAGGCAACTAGGAGGGAACTGGATGGAAAGTGAAGCTGCTAGGGCACCAAATGATGACCATATGGGAGGCCACTGCTACAGTGATTTTTCCAGCTCTGCCCCAATGCCAGCCCCTCTACTTACTTTTACTCATTCCCTAGACCTTGCTTCTGCTGCTTGCCCTAGGCACATCATTGTTCCCAACGGATAGCAAGTAGACAACAAGGACAAGGCTTACCTTACTTTGATACTCATTCCCCTTCCACAGCCGCTGCTGCCACACTTCACTCACCAGGCAAGGCACCCTCAGATTCCACACTTGGCTGTATCAGTCCTGGGTACCACATACCACTTTGCCTGGTACACACTGAGCCATGCTCAGATCACAGCCCAATCAATATTTTTTTTCTTGCCCCTACCTGCACCATATTCTGACTCATGTCACTTAGATCCCAGAATGCCTCATCTGACTCCTAATCCTAATTCTTCTCGGTCTGACAACCCCCAAAGGCTTTCAGGACCTGGATTTATTGAACATTTCATGTTAGAGGCCAAAATGCCATTCCCAAGTATACTCCTTGGAATGAATGGGATTTGAAACTTTCATGGAATGTAAATTTGCAGGAGGCACCAGGCTTCATGAAGCTTGCTAACATAGTATAAGGTTATGATCCGAAAAATGTTCACCTGCATCTGGCATTTTCACATCTGGAAATGGAGATATCTTTAAGAACAATTCTGTACTCTGCTTTTAAAAGTATGGAGCTCTATTACGAAGTAATTCAAGTCACTCTGATTGCTTAGCATTGCAGGATCTTGCAGACTGGAGCTACAGACAGACCCTTGTAGTTCCTGAAACTAAAACCTCCTGCCCTTATCCTCCCATAATGATCATAATTAAGGGCCAATATTGGAGACACTTGAAACTTGAGCTGGGCTTCTGGTTACAGACCAGGTCTAAGCTGGGTCATTCTCTAACAAGCAAATTGTTATGTTAAGGAAATGACTGGGACCAGTACTAATCCTTGAAGTAATCAGCCTGATGAGTAGTTTGAGCTATTGGTCTTAATGTGATGGAGTGGCTACAATAGGGAAACGAATAGTGGTTCCACAAATCACTGACACTTTCAGAGAAAGATAAAGTGGAGCTTAAAAAAAAAAATGGAATGGGGCTAGCATACTGGCTCAACAGGCTAAATCCTCCACCTGCAGAACTGACATCCCATATGGGTGCCAGCTCCCGTTCCAGCTGCTCCACTTCCAACCCAGTTCCCTGGTGATGACCTGGGAAAGCAGCTGAGGATGGCTCAAGCCTTTGGTCCCCTGCACCCATGTTGTGGACATGGAAAAGTTCCTGGCTCCTGGATTCAGATTAAGTCAGCTCCAGTTGCTGTGACCATTTGGGGCGTAAAAAAGTGAATGAAAGATTCTCTCTCTCCCTCCTATTTTTATTGGAAAATCAGACTTACAGAGTGAAGGAGAGACAGAGAGAAAGAACTTTCATCCACTTGTTCACTCCACGACTGGCCCCAACAGCCAAAGCTGAGCCGATATGAAGCCAGGAGTCAGGAGCTTCTTCCAGGTCTCCTACATGGGTGCAGGGTCCTAAGGTGTTGGGCCATCCTCGACTGCTTTCCCAGGACACAAGCAGGGAGCTACATGGGGAAGTAGGGCTGCTGGGACACAAACTGGCACCCATATGAGATCCCGGGCCCAAGCATGCAGGGGGAGGACTTAGCCACTGCGCCTTCATGCCAGGCCCAAAAATAAATAAGTATTTTGAAAAATCAAAACCAGATGTTACAGAGGCCACAGTGTTAGTAAAATGGATCTGACTGAAAGAGGCCAGGAGGCGCTTGCTGATGGTAGCTCCAGAGAGCTAAGTGCTTTCCTTCACACTTTGTCTATCAGCTCTGCAAAAAAAATCATCTTTGAGCATAAAAATTACCAGTAGAAGGGGACACAGGAAAATGGAGGCCTGCCTCCTGGTTGTATCAAGGATGACACGGGTTAATACACAGTAAGTACTGTTTTTACCCTATCAATATGCTTTTGTTTATCATCTAGGTGTCCTCCATAGCAGCTAGCTGTGTTCTGCAATGGCGGGGAAAGAAATCCCTGCCTTGTGAGGGACAGCATTTGGAAGTCCAGAGAAGACAGATTCTAAGTGAGATGTGCTGACACATGAAGAAGAGTGCCCTGGAAGAAGTCAAGGGCACATCTCTCCTGGAACAAAGTGAAACCATGCACACCATCTCTAGGGGCTGGTCCGAAAGCACCTAGCTCCTAAGAGCAGACAAACCCCTGCAGGGTTCTTCAAGCCATTCTTGTCTGCATAGGTACTCAAACCAGGTACTGCCACCCCAGGGGCCTCTGAATTTCAGAAATGGTTGTACTTTTGTTCATGTCCGCAAGATAGGCACTGTTAAAGCATGATGGCCGTGGGGCCTGAGTGGGACTGAAGGAGCACAAAGGCAGAAAGAACTAATCAGGACGTGAGGGTAGGAAGCCTTTTGGAGATGGTAATATCTTTCATCGAAGCCGCCGTTGCACCCCAGCCCAGAGAAAGTACTCACTGCGAATTCGGTCGGCCTGGCGAATCCCTTGGAGAATGTTACCCATGCTCTGGCTGTCTTCTCCTGTGGTCAGGACGACCCCTACAGGCAGGCCATGGCTCTGAAGAGCACTTGCGACTTGGTTGGCTGTGTGCACCCAGATGTCTTCATCTGAAGAAATGACTCCAGCATGAGCCCACTGGAAATATTTCATGACAGTTACAAGTACCCGGATGGGAGAAGGGAGTGTCCGAGAAAATGTTGTGTAACTCTCCTTCTTGTTTAATTCATAATTCACACAAGCCCAAGAGAAAATCCCTTTGTTCCAGCTGGTGCCCAGGAGCGCAGCTGCCTCACAGTACCCAGGGTTGGCAGGTCCAATAAATCCTGAGGCCATCTGGTGGTGGGAAATAAGACTGGAGAGGGCCCTCGAAGCCTGGCAGTCTTCGTTGAGAATCACGTATTCAAAAGTGTGAACCAGATCAAGTGATGAGTTCTGGTTGATTCGATCAATTGCTAACTGAGCAGCAACCTGAGGCAGCGCCTTTGAGAATAATGGATCACAAGTCCAAGGGCCCAGCACTCCTATTTTGTAGGGCAGGGACCCCACCTGCTGCAGGAGGGACAAGAGTGCCAAGAGGAACAGGCACCACAGGAGCTTGGAGGATGCAAGACCATGGTGTCCTGGCAGTCTGTTGGGAGCCACAAGGCAGCACATAAGGTGAGACAAAGGCCAGGATCCCAGGAACATAGCCCTCCTGATTCCAGTAAGCCAACGATGAGTTCCTGCAGCGTTATTCTGCCCCTCTGAGATGCACAGGAAGGTTTCCAAATGTCTGTCAATCAGAGGAAAAGGTTTGTTACTTACATTATTTCTGAAGCTTCTAAAAACATCAGTTATGGAAGAATGGCATAGAAATGGTGTGCTCTAAGCTGAATATTTATTTAGTTATTTATTTATTTTTGACTAAAACTGCTTACTCCTTGTTTAAGTAAACAACTCTTCTGCCCACTGTTCAATCGCTTACTTCACCCACAAGTCAGGCAATCGCTGAAGTTCCTCCTTGTTTCTGCCCTCACATTCAGTCCATTGGCAAGTCCAGTTGATTAAACATCAGCTACCACTTCCCACTTCACAGTGTCACGAAGATTAGGTGGGATAAGAAAAGGCCTGCCATGTCATTAGCACTGTTTTAGTCATTTTATTATGATTTTTATAGTTCCTAATATGCTGTTTTTCTCTTCCATACTACTCTCTTGGAGAGACAAGTGTTAGTTAACAGATTGTGGTAGAGAAGGTGTTAACACATAATGGTAATGTAGAGAAAAAAGCTATATGATTGAGGTGTCCCAAGGAAGCAGATCTCTCTGAGTTTAACATCAAAAACCGCCAAGTGAATGGAGTCACAAAGGGATTTGGTGCTGAGAGCCTTCCAAGAAGGAGTAATATGCAGAAAGAGGCAAGGGCAATACATGGGAGCTTCAAAACACTCATAGAAAATTTAATTAAAAGATGCTTAAATCTGTGCAAAAATTATTTTTGAAACCCATGCGTAGAGGTGACATTTAAAGTTCATGGTGTGAACCATGAATGGATTTATTCCTGCAGACAGAGGTAGGATGCAAAGAAATGACATTCTCAGATTTCCAATTCAAGTATCACTCTGACAGCAGGGTACACACTCGAGTGATAGGGATCAAGCTGGAAAGCCCAGGAAAGCAACACAATGTGGAAGAGAATGGCATGTTGGAATTCCAGGATAATGACATGTAGAGAATAGAAAGCATGTTCAGTGTCAAACTCTAACACGAAGTAAAAGTAGACTAAAGATAGAAAGGTGTTCACTGGATTCGGATTCAGACTAAGGATGCAAACGAAGAGACCACCAATGAATAAAACATGAACGCAGATTCATCAAGCAGAGTAAACAGACTAGAGAACTCTTTCAAGATGACACACGTGTCATGCAAAGGTTTTCTTGAACTAGCCCTTATCTTTCCCTAACACCTCATCTCCTTTTGTTCTTACTCAATGTCATAATACATTTTGAGTGCTGCTTTCTAGACTTGAGTGAGACCATCTGTAAAGGATGTGGAAAGTGTCATTTTCTCGGCCGTGGATGCCCTCCTCCCTTCTCCCTTACTACCCTTGTAGGTTCTCCTGATGCCTATTTTTGTTAGACTCAGCAGAAGTGTGACAGCTACAGCTAAAGTTCACTGTTTCTCCACGTGTGTTTCACATTTGTGACCATTACAAAAGGTCTCACTTTGATTGTGAACTTTCTCTGTTTCTGCTCCTCTGTATGGAAAAGATACAGAACTGTTTGCTATCTCTGCACTTACAGGATCTCCTACTTTCAACCACAAGGAGTGAGCAACATTGAGAGTTCGGAGAAAACAATCTGTTCCAGTGGGAAGTCCCAGATGTCCTCTTTTTAAAATCCATCTATTTTTAAGATTTATTTATTTTGGAGTCAGAACAGCGGCTAAACAGGCTAATCCTTAGATTTGCAGCCCTAGCATCCAACGTGGGCACCAGTTGTAGTTCCAGATGCTCCACTTCCGATCAATTTCCCTTCAAATGGCCTGGGAAAGCATTGGAATGAGGCTCAAGTCCTTAGGCCCCTGTACTGACATGCGAAACCTGGAAGAAGCTCCTGGCTTCTGGCTTCAGATAAGCACAGCTCTGGCCGTTATGGCCATTTGGAATGTGAACCAGCAGACAGATGATTGCGTTCTCTCTCTCTCTCTCTCTCCAGTCTCTGTCTCTCCTATCTAAAAATCTGCCTTTCAAATTAAAAATAAGTCACAGTTACAGAGAGGGAGAGATAGAAAGATCTTCCATCTGTTGATTCACTCCCAACATTCCCCACAATGGCCAGAACTTGACTGGTCCAAATCTGGGAGCCAAGAGCTTCTGGGTTTTCCACCTGAGTGCTGGGGACCAAGCACTTAAGCCATCCTGCACTGCATTCTGAGTCTATTAGATGGAGCTGGATGAGAAGTGGAGCAACCAGGAATCAAAATAATATCCATATGGGATGCCAGCACCACAGGCAGAGGATGAGCTTGCTGAGCGACTGCACCAGCCCCAGGTCCAAATACCTAGCAAAATGCACAAGACATACTACGCATCAGATACGTGTTTGTGTAATGAATATAAAAACATTAAGTGACCTATTCTCAGGAACAACTCCAATAGACATCATAAGAAGAATTATTTGTTTAAATGAGGTGGTAATGAGGAAAAGTCTTAGCAATGCCTTAATCCTATAGAAAAAAATGGTATGATTCTTTTCTGGACTGATAATCAGCACTGGTGTGCAGCAATCAAGAACAAGTGGGTATTCATTACTAGCAGTTCTGCCTGTGCCAGCAAGCTTCTTGACATACCCCAAAGTTTGTGAGAAACCTTTACTCTTCAAGACACCAGCCTGGGGTATCCCCGGCAGATCACAAAAACACACCAAAGCACCATGCCCTGACATTTGCGCACAGACAAAAGCTGGTTCAAATGAAGGTCAAGAAATGCATATGAGAAGAAACACCTCACAGAAAGGTGAGCCAGAGGCTCAGGGCTGTGTGTGGGGAGAAACAAATTTCCAATATTGCTTCGGAGCTGGTTGGAAGATGGTTCTGGGCTTATTATACGCATAAACCCTCAAATATGTTTCTGGATGCTGCTAGATAATCTAATCCAGCCTCTCTCTGCAAACAGGTTAGTTACAAACACTAATGCTGAAGATATGAGGATGAGATGTTGATGCGTGGAGGGTGAGTTGTAAATTTGCCTTCAAAGAGTTCCCAGTCCAACACCATAGACTGAGCACTGGTTAAAAGTCAAATGTTTCTCTCCTCACCTTCCCTTTCCTTCTATCATGGCAGCATTTGGGAGTTAGGACACTTCAGGAGTAATTCCTTCTCTGGAGTTGCACAGAAGGAATCCCTATTTCTGATCTGCATTGTGTCAAGAATATTGAACCATATTTATCTCTGCCCTGATAGGATCTCACTGTTTTTACCACTAGAAGTAAGCAGAATTGGGGTCGATGTTGTAGCACTGCAGGTAAAGCTGCCACATGCAGTGACAGCATTACAAATGGGTATTAATTCATGTCCCAGCTGTTCCATTTGCAATCCAGTTCCTGGCTAATACGCCTGAGAGAGCAACAGAGGATGGCCCTAGAACTTGGACCCCTGGACCCCTGTGGGAGACACAGAAGAGGCTCTTTCCTCATAACGCCAGACCAGCCATTGTGGCTATTCAGGGAATGAAGATCTCCTCTTTTCTCCTCTTCTCTCTCTCTGTCTCTCCTCTTCTCTCCTCTCCTCTCCTCTCCTCTCCTCTCCTCTCCTCTCCTCTCCTCTCCTCTCCTCTCCCCCTTCTCCCCTCCTTTCTTTCTCCCCCCTGTATATGACTATGGTTTTCTTTTTTTCTTTTTTTTTTTTTTATTGGAAAGGCAGATATACAGAGGAGAGACAGAGAGGAAGATCTTCCATCCAATGATTCAGTCTTCAAGAAACCGCAACAGCCGGTGCTATGCCGACCCGAAGCCAGGAGACAGGAACTTCCTCTTCTGGGTCTCCCACGCAGGTGCAGGGTCCCAAAGCTTTGGGCCGTCCTCGACTGCTTTCCCGGGCCACAGGCAGGGAGCTGGATGGGAAGCAAGGCTGCCGGGATTAGAACCGGTGCCCATATGGGATCCCGGGCGTACAAGGCAAGGACCTTAACCACTGCGCCACCGCGCCGGGCCCATGACTATGGTTTTCAAACAAGTAAATGCATCTTATTTTTTTAAGAAGTACATGATATGGAAGGCAACCAACATGGAAGTAGACCCCTAATACCAGAAACCAATACTGTAAGGTGCTATGGCTTGGGAGTGGTTTCTATAAAAATTCATGCTGATATGTGCCCCCTCAGTACATAAAAATATTGAGAGGCAGTGGGAACTTTAAGATATGATTAGGTCTTTTAGATGGATTAATGAGATTTTTGTGAGAGTCATTCTCACAGAAATGCATTCGTTTTCAAGAGAACAGGATATTATAAAGCTATCCTAGCAGCTCTCCTCTCTCACCACGAGATCTCTCTTCCCTCTGTGCCAGCTCACTGCTGTTCCACACCCTCTTACCATGTGATGTTAGCTGCCATCCCATATGGTGCAGCATGAGGTTCTTGCCAGATGCAGCCACCGGATCTTGACTTTCCATGCATCTAGAATCATGAACTACATAAACCCCCCTCCTTTATCAAGTTCCCAGCCGCAGGTATTTTTGCAGTAACAACATAAAAGGCGTTTAAGACAGAAGACAATCAACTACCTGTTCTCCCCCTTACGAACCACTGTGATGGGTTCTTTCACAAACCTTTACATCTGAGCTAGAATTGAGCACTTGGAAATACAGGCTGAGATTTTTCGAGGTTCCAGTGATGTGCCAAACACTCAGCTGCACGCTTCACATGTATTATTCCGTTTTTTTTAATGCACTTTTAAAAACTCAGTAAGATTCTTTTGAGGTGAGTGTTATGACCATTACTCACAGAGAATGAAACTGGGATTCAGAAAAGGGAAAGTAATTTGCCTGAGAAATACAATGGTAAAAGGGTTTTGCATCACTGTTGATTAAGCACTGTGCTAGAAGGCCAGTAACCTAGGAATTCACTGAGAAGCCCATATATGCTATGCTATTCAAATGGAGGTCAGATGACCACTGATGACCACTATTTAAAAAAATGTTTTCTTAATATCTCATGAAGGAACTAATGAATTAAAGATGGAGGATGAACAGAGCAAGTAGACAGGAGCAAGTTGGAATTCATTCTCCAACTAGAAGGAATTGCCCACCAGTGTTTTAATCCCAGTGCTGAGAAAGCTCACTTACCTCTGACTCAGGGCACAGCACCGCACAAGCAGAAGTGGGACCCACCAGTCACCTTGTCTTCTGTATAAAGCTAATCCTAGTTTGAAGAATGGAAGCTATCAAGAGTGTACCCTGTAGCCTATTAGCTCTGATTCACAATTTCCTTGTCTGCAAAATGAGGGTAAATCTAATGTCATCTTTTTGAGATAAGGGCTTAAATAAATTAGGAGGCTAAGCATACAATGGTTTTTCAACAAACGCTAATTCTTGCTTGCTGTTCACAAAGAGCACTGCATTGGGAATCAGAAGGCCCGTGTTCCAGACCCCCTTCCATTACTGAATCACCGCTGGACACATCATTCCCTGCCTCGGGGCTCTCTTGTGCTTCCCCCGCAGCACGAATACAGGTTCTGCGAGACCCTTTCTTGTCCAACATATATTGATCCTGGTATTCTGTACTATTGAAAGACCGCTACTTCTCAAAATCTGTAGTGCTAAACTGCTCTTGGAGTTTATTCAACACTCTCTAACTCTTGCTGCACTAATTAACTTCCTGTGAGAAATGGATTGCCCCAAGTGGTTTGTACTGACTTGTGTCTCAGAGATTCAAGTTCTTCATGATTTTTACTTGGGTCTATAATCCTCTTTCAAGTAACTGTGATGTCATTGATGCCTCATCTCCCATGCAGTTCTAGAGACAGCTTTGGCCGAGCGGTTATTTTTTCAGTATTGTGCTATGACTAGAATCACAAACGAAGTGAAAGAGGATAGAGTCCTGGCCAAGAAATCTCATCAAGAAAAGCAATCACTTGCATTTAAATGGAGAGTGCAGCAATGCTCACTTAAGACCTTATTTAAAACCTGGCGGGGTGCTCTTGGGTTGTTTTGTTTTGTTCTGTTGTAAAATCAGCCAGTATGTAAGCTTGATCTTCAAACTTCTAGCCCAGTCCTCTCCTCTCCGGTCAATTGGGAGAAAAACAAGTTAAATAATTTGTACTGATATGTAAATGGATGCTAGCATGTCCCTACAACTCCCTAACCATAGTGTTTATTTTTAATACAGGTGGGCAGACATTCACATCAAGAAACTCTAGTGTTGTAAATTCAATTTCATCCATCAGTAGCAGATAGGCAAAAGGAGATTGACCATTTTAGAGATAGAAAACTGATGGGACCTGTGCTGCTCAGGTCACAGTGATCTATTACAGGTGGCAGGCTGGCATTTGAAATGTTAGAATCCAGGTCTTCTAAGCACAATGCCTGCCCTTTCCTAAATTCGAAAACCTTTGCTCTAAATAAAATAAAATAAAATAAAATAAAATAAAATAAAACAGCATTTAGCCTTCACCTGATAATTTGGATTTAAATTAAAAAACAGAACGCTCTTATGAAAATAAGTTGTCTTATTGTCTTCAAAAAAAGAAACAGTTGTAGGCTTCCCTGGAGTTAATGGCAAACATGGGCATAAACAAAATAGAGTTGGAAGGTTCTGCATTTTTGAAACAGACTGCTCTGAACCCACAGTTGTTCTGGAGCAGCTGACTCAGGCGGTAACATAGAAGGTGGCTAGAGCCTCGGGGATGCATCATTTCCTGGCAGGTAGCTTTCCCAATCTGGTGGGAAGTTTGTTCTTTAAAAATGTACAAAGAAAGACTATGACAAATAGCTCGGAGGGAAATGGTTCCTCATCCCAGCTTGTCAAGACAGGGCCTTCTCAGGATGATTGATCTTTGCAGTTACAGCCTGAATCAAGTTAACAGGTTGTATAAGACAACATCAGGAAGAAATCAAAAAGAATCATGAGGGAAACTAAACGAAAGCTTAGCCGAGAGCCTTGGAGCCCAAATCTTAATTCAAAGTCTTTCAAAGGCTCCTTTTCCTTTTTCCCCTTCCCCTATTATTTCCTTCTTTCCTTCTTTCCTTTCTTCATTTTTCCTTTTTTTCTATATATGGCAGTAAAATGAATGCATCTCAAAGGCTGAGCTCACAAGTGGGCTGTTTTTCCCCATTACATTCATACAAACAAGAGCCATCAACTACTCACCATGCAATCCACCGCTTAAACATCTTCAATCCACTGCCTGCGCATGCAAATCTGACAGAGCCAACCCAGTGTGTCCATTTCTGCACATCCTCTACCCATTCATAATCCTGCCAAGAACTCCAACCTGTTGATAAATTTCATTAATTGGGTGAATAACTGAAAGTGATAGTGAACCTTTTCAAAATCACTCTTTAGCATCCCCAGACCAGACCTCGATTAGGATTTAGAGTGACACTTTTAATCCTTTAAATTGATCCCACCTGTAGCCGAGTTAGTACTGACCTAAATGCGTTGACCCAGAGATTAACAGACAATTAGAGTCCTCTGGATAAATGTGTCCTCTACAGACTACTGCCTTCCACCTTTCAAAGTCAGACTCACATTCCCCGAGATTGTGCCTTTGTGGTCTTCCTTTTACCTTTTGTCTAATAAACACAAAGCATTTTCTTTCCAGGACAGCTCTAAATTCCAGGATATTCATCAGCTGTGGTTCCATCCCAGGCTATGAAAGGTGATCAAGGCTGGGACTCTGCTAAATCCGAAGTGGGGGATTGGTCATCTTCTATTCTCCTTAAGTGACTTCTCTTAGTACCTTTTTTTTCCAAGACAGACCCAAAATCCTATCCATGCCATTATATGTGCACACACACACACACACACACACACACACACATATTTGCTCTATCCTTTGAGAACTATCTTTTGCCCTTTATCAGTTCCTAGGCACCATTCACTCAAGGCCCTGTTGTGGATGCCCAGGGGTAAGAACTAAGACATTAATGACCAAAACTGGCTTCTATTAAATGCGGGTTTCTATGCAACAGACATTTTTCAATTAGCTTCACTGAGGTATGAGAATAGCTCACCCACACAGCAGAAAATCCATCTTTTTGAAATGTATAGTTTACAGGCTTTTATGTGTTTGTTTTCAGTATATTCATGAGGTTGTGCAAACATCACTGCTTTGTTTTGGGAAAGGATTTTATTGAAATGCAGTGCACATACCAAGCAGTGCATGTAAGTATACAAGTAATGAGTTTTGTGTCTGTGCACAGTCACAACCAATACTCAAGAAAAAAACATTACTAGTGCTCCAAGACTCCTCACTATACTCCCTCCATGGCCTTAAAAAAAACACGTAATAAAGAAAATATCACATGGTATGATTCAGCATCAGCAGTTTTCAATGCTTTTTTAAAGACTTATCTGAGAAAACGAAAGACATCCACAGAGAGAGACAGAGAGAGAGAGATCTTCCATGCACTCCCCCAATGGCTAACACCAAGAGCCAAGAACTCTATCTGGGTCTCCCCCTTGGGTGCCACGCACCCAACCATTTGGGCAATTTTCTGCTGTTTTTCCCAGAACATTAGCAGGGAGCTTGAGAACCAGTATTCACATGGCATGTCAATGTCACGAGCAATGGCTTAATCCACTGCACCTCAACACTTGATCCTACCGCTTTTCAATTAAAAACATTCCATTATTCCCACAAAGAAATGTGGTATCTGTTTAAAAATCACTCCCCACTACTCTGCTTGCTCTTCCTAGACCCACTAACTGACTTTGTGGCTCTACAGGTTTGCCTATTTGGGACATTATATAAATGAGACAATATGGCATGGTCTTTTGTGGCTAGCCTTTTTCATTCAACGTATTGTTTTCAAGGTACATGCATGTTCTAACATATGTTGCCTCATAGTTTTATGACCAAATAATACTCCACTTCTTATCTATTTATCAAATGATACATTTTGGGGTTATTTCCAGTTTTTAGCTATCATGAATAAAGTTTCAATTAAATGTGTACATACTTTTGGGGGGACATAATGTTTGCACTTCTCAGGTAATATAGCATTGCTAGGTAGTCTAGAAATCCCATTTAAGTTTTATATAGCTATGAAACTATTTTTCCAAAGTTATCTGTACCTTAATATCTTCCAATAAGCAATGTGAGTTCTTGTTGCTTCACATCTTGGCCAACACTTTTGATTTTTGTATGATTGGTACTTCCATACACACCTTATGTAATCTTATATTCATAACAACCACAAAGATATATATTAGTCTCCCAATTTTGTAAATGAAGATATCAAGAGGGCCTGGCACAGTGGCCTAGCGGCTAAAGTCCTCGCCTTGAACGCTCTGGGATCCCATATGGGCGCCGGTTCTAATCCTGGCAGCTCCACTTCCCATCCAGCTCCCTGCTTGTGGCCTGGGAAAGCAGTCGAGGATGGCCCAAAGCCTTGGGACCCTGCACCCGTGTGCGATACCCGGAAGAAGTTCCTGGATCCTGGCTTCGGGTCGGCATAGCACCGGCCGTTGTGCTCACTTGGGGAGTGAATCATTGGATGAAAGATCTTCCTCTCTGTCTCTCCTCCTCTCTGTATATCTGACTGTCCAATAAATAAATAAATATTTTTAAAAATGCATCTTTAAAAAAAAAGATATCAAGAGCAAAGTAAACTAGGCCGTAACCATATGTATTGAATGCTGATAATATGGTAACATTTCTGGAAGCTATCTCTCCTGCAATCTTCAAAGTGACCCCATGAGTGAGATAATGTTTGAATTACTAGATGTACATAGAGGTCAATGTAACTTTTCCAAAGCCATGTAGCCACTAGGCAGTGAAGCCAGGATTCGAACTCAACCCGCTCCTCAGAGTCAGAATTCAAATTCAAGGCTATTTATTTTCAACAAAGTCATGATTATCTTTGATATATTCCACTGACTTGTGATCCCTCCAAAGGTGGCTTGCATTTTACCAGAATTTCTAGGGGAAAAAAGTGATGAATTTCCAAGGGAAATGATATCTGACTGTAGAATTGTAGGTAACCTGATGAAAATGCTGTTGCAGATGTGGGCCTCCGGCCACCTTGACCATCTGGCAGAAGATGCCCTAAGTGACTGCCAGCAGACATCTCATAAGAAGGTTATGATGAAGATTAGAACTGTCATTCAAGGAACATCCCCGAATCCTGAATAGGTGTGGGACACCAAATTTATAGGCCTGGAGCAGTAACTTGGAATTAATGTACAAAAAAACTTCTAAGGTAAATTTAATTTTGATCTGGAATATCACAGACATTTGCCTTTTTTCAGCGTTAATAATAGATAACAGTTATTAAGGATTTACAATGTGTTAGGTACTGCTCTATTGCCTTTACATATACTAATTATTTGAATTGTCACAACAATCTTATGATGCAGATAGTATCATTCACGTTTTCTAGACAATGAATCCGAGACACAGAGATGCAGTGATTTGCACAAGAGCGCACAGCTGGGATGTGTTGGAATCAAACTACCTTGTGAGTGCAGGTAACCCAACTCTAGTGCCACAGCTCCTAACTATTGTCTCTTAACCCACTTTAAAGAATAGATGTATTTGACAAGTAGAATTATACACAGAGAGCAAGAGATACAGTTCTTATGTCCACTGGTTCACTCCTAAAATGTGCACAACAGCCAGGGCCAGGGCCGGGCTAATCCAGGAGCCAGGAGTATATCCAGATCTCTCATGTGGGTGGCAGTGGTCCAAACATTCCTGCTGCTCCATCAGAACACTTTACAGGGAGCTAGATTGGAAGGAGAGCAGCCCAGACAGAAACTGGCACCCATATGGGAAGCTGATATTGCCAATATCAGCTTTATCTGCTTATGTCACAACTCCAGCTCCATCTGTTGCCACTTAAAAAAAAAAATCACAGGTGGTGTTCATTGGATTGATGCATATACTCAAAAAATGCTTTGGGATCCATAAGTTTCAGTTACAATAAACTTAGTCATTTTAAGACAGAAAATTCAAAACCATTTGGAGTCCTTAGGAGTTTAAACTCACTGACACTTCAAATCCTCCAGACCTTTTAGCACTGCTATGTCAGCAACATCAGGTAGGCACGCTCTCTCAGTAACTTATTTCCTCAGTTTTCTCACTTAGGGCACCAGAAAATCCATAAACACACCAGATTTCTATTACAACCCTTATCAGCTCCTGTTCTACATTGTCAATATCAAAATATATGGAGCTCAAGTATCAATGGATATTCTTTCCACAGAACTTGTATGTTTTGGATATGGCTTGATTCTGTCCCCCAACATTCATGTGCTGAAAACTCGGTCACCTACATAGTGACAGCACTGATCATTGCTGGAGCCTTAATAGGAGACAGCTAGTGGGATGTGATTAGACCAGGAGAGCCCAGCCTTGGGAAGGAAGGCACGAACGAAGTCTTTACAGAACCAAATCGATTGGCACAGGAGCAGCTTTTTTATAAAGCAGTCAGCGCACATGCACAGTCCCTCCTGCACGCAACCAATGCCCTCTCTGTTCTCCAACCCGTTCTAATAAAGCCAAAATATCCAGGAAGGTAAGGTAAACATGAGGGAGGCTAAGAGTGGAAAAACTACAAAAAAAAAAAAAAAAAGATGTTAGACAAACTTCTGCATCTTGATTGATTGATTGCAGTGAGACCTCTGGCCTGCGATTCCTGGCCTTCCTGGAACTATTTCACTTAGTCCTGCCTCACTGAAAGTTCTTTTGCATTCTCAGTAGTAGTAAACTCTGTCTGCCACGCTTGTATAAGAGTACCTCAAGAACCTTATACAAACAGTGAGATTAAGCCATTTGTTTTGATGCAAAAATTTGTAAACTCATGGATAGTTTTTGCAGAATATTTTCCACAAACTGCTTAAATACCCCTCTTAGGCATAAATGCAAATTTCTGCATCAAAATAGGTTGTTGATTCCATATTTCCACGAACTTTTTAAAGCCCCATCATGGAGAGCTGTGGATGTGTATTTATGGATCAGTTTTCCTTCCGTTTTGAATGTAGAGGTAGAAGCCTGACCCAGCTTTTTGTCATCTTCAGCCCAGACTATTTGACCAGACTAAGGCTCAGTGCTGTCCCCTAGCAGTAAGATTCGAAACTGAAATTAAATCTGCCGTTGTAATGACCGCAGACAGACAATAGATGTCACTGTGACACCATTATTATCAAATTTTCTTAACTATCCCTTATTGCACCTGTAAAACTGATGTTACAATTTCAACAGTTGTTTAAACTTGCATTGACTTTGATTTCACAGTTAGCTTCATATCTCTTCTCGCTCCCTATGTCAAATACATAAATGAATAAATTTTAAAGGGGGTAAATAATGTCCTGAAAGCCCAATTTAATTGTCTGTCAGGAGTCAACAGACTATGGTCTATGA